GTGAAGTGACTTGCCCAAGGTCACACTCTTGTAGGTGTCTGAGGCCAGATTTAAACTCAGAAAGATGAGTCTTCCTGATTCCAGTGCTGTCTCCACTGTGCCACCTAGGTGCCCCCTTTTCTAGATACTAAAAAATGGCAGACAAAACAGGATGTATTTGTCAGTCATTGGGCGGGGCTGGTACTGGCTGGACTGCCCAGTCAAGGAAAGGCTTTCCAAGCTCTGAGTCTCAAGGAAGTGCTTGGTGAAAATATTAATAGCATGGAGTGTTATGGTATATTATTTATTCTAATAAAGACCTGATAACCACCATGAAGTCATGGCCCACGGCAGATTGCTCCTTTCTGTCTTTTTCTTTCTTTCCTTCGGATGTGGAATGAATGAACTTGAACCTGCATGAGAAATAAGGATAAGACAGGCATGAGCTGAGGCCTCGGGCTGAAATGAAATTAGGAGGGAATGAGAAGAAATGTGGCAGAGCAGGAGCTGAATAAAGTTGGACAGTGCCCCCTTCCCACCCTTTATTCATAGGGGCCTGATGGCATCTCTTCCTTGCAGACTTTGTGGTGACCTCAGGGTGCTCATTGTGAAATGCCCTGCTTGTCCTGGGCAGGAAAGCGCACATTTAGACTGGGTGACTAGGAGTGTGCTCAGTTCTCACATGATCAACTCCCTCACAGGCATTGATCTTCATTCATCCCAAGCAGATGTTGTTTGCTATGTTTCTTAAGATCTGCTCACTCACATACATCACAAGCTCTCTCTTCTAAACAATCCAGGATTAGCACTGTTGGGGAGCAAAACAAATGCCCTGTTGCTGTAAGAGCAAAAACTGGGGGCTTATCTCCTTCCCTTCAAGTTCAGGAGGAAGCTTCTCATCCTTAACCCTGCCTCTTATCAAGCTCATCCTTTCCCTCTCTGATGCCCTTGTACAGTGTGTCCTTTATTGGTGAGTGTTTGTGAAGAGAGCTTTGTCCCTCCTATGCCTGTTTTCCAACATTTAAGGCCTGGAGAATAGATGTGTCGGGGAGGTTGAGCAAGGATCTGAAGCAACCGTCAGGTTAATGGGGATCAGACTTGTGCTGCCTGCCTCCAGGGACCACACCTGGCAATGAGGGGCAGAAGTGGCAGACTTGGTGGAAGGGAAAACTTCCTCTGGATTGGAGCTGTCCCAAAGTGGCAGTGGCCATCTCAGCCTCCCCCTCACTGGACATGTTAATGAAAGACTGAATGGTGGTCTCAATGGCTTCTTCGGACCAAACACTGTCCAGGGTCCCTTCCCACACAGATCCTGGGCTTCTGGATATAACCCCTATGAGGATGGGCACTATGCATTGTGCTCCTAAGCCCAATGAGTCCATATCAAACAAGCTTCATTTCCAAAACTGGTACCCACCTAGCGGTTAACCTTAGTTCATGCTGATTGACTATAGCCAAAAGGAATGTGTTCCAAACCTGTACCCTCCCTTCCCTAGGTTTAGAATGCTCTCCCCATCTTCACTCTCTACTCCTAGTCCAATATCATAAGCATATATTATGTGCCTACTGTGTACCAGGCACTTTACTAGATGCTTATGATACAAGGTCAAAAAAGAATAGTCTCTGTCCTCCCCTCCAGGAACTTATGTTCTAGCTTCTAAACAGAAGAGTAAGTACAAGGTCATCTGAGGAAGCTGAACCTAGTAAAGGCTTCTACAGGAGATGGTCCTTGACTTGGAGAGAGCTGCAGATTCTAAGAGAGGGCAGTGAGGAGGGAGGGTATCCCAGACATGAGGATGCTATCTAATGGCAGGGAGGCAAGGGCTGGAATCCCGAGTTCAAGGAACCAGTAGATTGTGAGAAACACGTCTCAGAGCAGAAGTCCATTAAAAATTTTTTTTGATCATTCTTTCTGTGTCATTGGTTTCCTTTGTTCACCTGTGTGTTTTATTGTATGCATTGAAGAGCATAATTCTGAGAAGGCATCCACAGGGTGCTGAATTCCTCCTACCCATGGGGGCCCCTCGAACCCTGTCTTGGGCCCTCTCCTCTCCTGCCTCTGCACTCTTCCTTTGTGTTTTATTGGCTCCTGTGGGTTCAGCTATTTTCTCTTCCTAGATGATTCCCAAATCCATATGTTTAATCCTGATCCTTCTCCAAATCTTCAGCCCTGAATTGCCAACTGTTTTTTGGACACCACCTTTCAGTGACTCAAACATTACATCCTTTCACACTGGCCTAATAGCTGTTCCCCAAACACAACATGGCAGCCCTACCTCCACGCATGTATACGAGCTGTCCCATACCGAGAAGGTGTTCTGTTCTCACCTTCACTTTGAATCCTTATTTCCCTTTGAGGCTCAGTCCTCTGATCCCCACCCCCCACCCTGTCCTCTGTTATTAGCATCTGTTCCTTCTAACAAGCATCTTGCATTTCTTTACCTTGATGGGGTGCCTGCTCTTGTAGAATGTAAGCTTCTCAAGGTCAGGGCCTGCTTCTCTTGTTTCCTGACATCTGCAGTACTTGGCACAGAGCCTTGAATACAGTAGTTGCTTAATAAGTGCTCTTTGGGTTGAGTCAGCAGAGAGAGGGAAGCGAGGAGAAACAAGAAGGTCTCAGAAGGACACAAACATGCATTTCTCTATTTTCGTGCTCTCCTTTTCTCACTTTTTCAAATAGCTTTTTAGTACATTTCCCTCCCAATCTGCATCCTTGAGTGTGAAAATCACAGCATTCCAGAAAGCTGCCTTGTTTATCCATTACCTCTGCAGTGGGTGCATGTGTCAGAAAGTGTTTCCCACATGGGTTCGCTCCCGTCTCCATCCCTATCTCTGCTTGGCCACTCAGGGCAGCATAACTCCATACATAGGCTCAGATTTCCCTCCTCTGCCTTTGGGGGAAACTTCCCAGCCTTCTGGAGGTGGCTGGGGGCAGAGGACCGGGAAGTGGCAGGAAGCATGGAACACGCACCTCCCTCCGTCCCGCACCCTGGGGTGGAGGCAGACTGGCTTCCTCCGTTCCAGCCCCCATCTCTCACCTCTGTGCCTTTGCCCGATTGTCCTGGAACATGCATCCTCACCTCCACCCTCTCTGCCTTCAAGATGTATCTCAAGCACCCCCTTCTACCTGGATCCTTCCTCCCCCCGCCGTTCCCCAAAACGATAACAATCTGGACCGATTTGTGTTTCTGTACGTTTCTGTATACGTGTGTGCTTGTTGTCCTCCCCATTAGAATGTAAGCTGGAGAGCAGGGATTGTTTCATGCTTTGTATTTTTAGCCTCGCTTTGGTGCCTGGCTCATAGATGGTGCTTAATAAATGCTTATCGATTAACTGATGGAAAGCCAAGAGGGCTGGCAGGCTCTGAATGTTCCGATCCCCAGCTCCTTCAGCTATCAACCCAGGGGCATTTGTTAAGAGCCTTCCGGGCACCAGGCACTGCACCAGGCACTGGGGGTACCAGGACGAGCGAGACAGCCCCTGCCCTCAGGGAGCTCACAGTCTCCTGACAGGAGATGATGTGGTAAAGCGCTTTGTCAGCAGCCATCTGAGTTGGCCCAAGGAAGAGGCTTCAGTGCAGGAGATTTGGCTGGGGGAGCAGGAGGTGACAATGCAGTATTAAGAGTCCTCACTGAGGCTCCAGCGGAGGGATCTGCCACCGCATCGATGGCCAGGTTCACCCTGGAATCTTGCCATGGGATTCCCAGGACAGCAAGGTCTGCACTCTTCCCAAAGGAGCCAGCTTTCCTAGAAGCCACTGGCAGATAACAGCTACCATTCCTTCCCCCTCCCAATACCCCAGCCGTAGGGTGGGGAAAAGGGACTTTCTTGCCTTTGTAATGAGAGACAACATGGTGGATAATGCACTGGGCTTGGAGAAAGGGAGATTGGTGTTCACATCTTACCTCAGATACTAAATGATAATAACCACCATTTACGTGATACTTTAATGTTGGCAAAGGTTTCACACATGGTGTCTCATTTGATACTCACAACAACCTTGGGAGGTAGGTGCTATTATAATACCCATTTTACAGATGAGGAAGGTGAGGCAGACAGGTTAAATGACTTGCCCAAGGTCACACAGCTGGTATGTGTCTGAGTGAGGATTTGAACTTGGGTCTTGCTAAGTCTAAGTCCAGGGTCCTAAACACTACATCACCTAGATGCCCCTACGTATTAGCTGTGTGACCCTGGACAAGCCCCTTATCCTCTCCGGGCCTCAGTTCCCTCCTCTGTAAAAAGAAAGGGATGGACTTGTGGGCGTCTGAGGTAATGTCCAGCTCTAGCCCTAGGATCCTAGGACGTCAAGACCTGTGTGCTAAGCCCAATCCAGTTCTTGTGGATGCAGCCAATTATCCCAAACTCTGGAGTCTTCTAGGTCAGACTGACCTCCAGCCCTGCTTCCCTCTCACTTCCCTGGGCAAGTCTTGTCCCCCTAGCCTGTGTTCCAGGAGGGCATGGCTCTGACCCCTGGGGGCCCGAGAGTGGGCAAGAAAGTCCGCAGTCACACCTGGCTCTCTGTCTCCTGGTCCGCTGCCTGGTGGTCCTCCGTGACGTCTCAGGCCACCCCCTGGCTCCTTGGGCCAGGCTGTTTCAATTGGGATGATACTGCCTGACACTTGTCTTAGTTTCTAGCTCTTCCCCTCAGCTCTCTGAGTGCCAGGACATAGAATATCAGAGCTGGGAGGGTCATTAGAACAGAGAATGTCAGAACTGGGAGGGGGTCTTAGGGAAGAGCTATTCCCACAACCTTACTTCATAGAAAAGGAAACTGGGGATCATGAAGGGGCAGTGGCTGTTCCAAGGTCTCACAGCCCTCCGGGTGGCAGGGCCACCGCCCAGAACCCTGCCGCCCCCCCCCTACCAGGGTGGTGCTCTGTGCCAGAGTCCAGGCTTCCTTTGTAGCCAGCACATGCTTACACCACCCTCCCCTCACCCCCACAGCCCCTTGTGCCTTGGGGGCAGATGTAGGCTGTCTGCAGGGCCTGTGAACTTGCTCTCGGACAGGGTTGTGGGAGGAAGTGAGCAGTTTGTAGGAGTCTCTGCCTCCGCAGACCTGGCTGGGACTTCCGCTGGGGCTGCTCCTGGTTGCTCTGAGCTCCGGGCTGGGGGGCTTCTTTTCGAGGGCCAGGAGGGCTTCCTACTGCCCCCCAGACCACCCTCAGTCTTTCTCTTTTGTCTCTGTTTCCTCCGGGGCCTGAGCTCCCAGAAAGGTAAGTTCCTCATTTTTCCAGCCCCTGCCTGGGCAATAGCAGCGGCTGGGAAGACTTTGGGACCTGGATTCTAATCCTCTCTCCGACACTTAAAATCTGTGTGACAGTAAGCCAGTCACTAAACTTCTCTGGGCCTCAGATGTCTCCTCCGTCCAACGGGGGTTGTTCAAGACAGAGCCATTAAACTCCTACATTGTGTGAGGCTCATGTGCCGGTGCTGGGGACACAGCGATGGATCGGACCCAGAACCTGCTCTTGAGGGCCTTAGAATTGAGGTGTGGGAGTGGGGGGACATGAACAAAAAGAACATGCGGCCAGTGAAGAATGGAGGGGCCAGCTAGGGGCGAGGAGGAAACAGTAGGTGGGGGAGGGGTGAGGCCCAACTTCTGGGAGGAAGCAGAGCTTCAGACTTGCCTTGAATGAAGGGCCGCAGCCGACGGAGGCAGGGAGGATGGTGCAGAGTTCATTTCCAGGGTGAGGGCCTGGATGAGGAAAGGCCCAGAGAGGGAGAGCCACCCAGTTTGGCTTCCCCTCCTGTTGCCTTAGGCAGGGTGCCTTCATGGTTAGAACACTACAGGTGGAGTCAGGGAGACCTGGGTTTGAATTCTAGCCCAGACACTTCTTTGTCAAGCTCTGGGAAAGTCGCTTTCCCACTGCCTGCCCTCTGGGCATCTGCTTCTGCTCTGGCTAAGTGAGGAGGTCAGTTGGAGTGGATGCAGCCTGCACAGTCCAGGAGGCTGCGGGGAGTCCATGGCTGTGTCGCCCCCACCAAAAGCCGCCGTCGCTATTTTCAAACTGCCTCCTCCCCCCTAGTCCTCTCCATTCCCAGCCGCGGGAGGTTCTGTTCTGTCCTCTCGCCATGCATTGACTCATCAGCCCCACGGGGAGCCTGCTGATCAGCAAATAACAGCTGGCTGCCTGGGGAAGGCTAAATTGGTACCATTGTCTCGGCACCCCCCCCGGAATAGGATGTGTCTGTGAGAGCTCAGGCAGCCTGGCCCAGGCCAATGAGAGCCATCGTCCCTGGATGCCCCAGTCTGGGCCTGGCTGACGGTCATTGGGAGCCCAAGTCAGCTGTGACAGTCAAGCAATTACTGTGCTTGAGGCTGCGTCCACAGGTCGATATCTGCTGCCTGCCCAGGCTTAGGGTTGCCTGGGAATGTAAAAATGAGGGGGAGAGAGGGGGCTATGGAGCAAGGGGGAGGGAGGGGGAGAGAGAGAGAGAGAGAGAGAGAGAGAGAGAGAGAGAGAGAGACAGACAGACAGACAGAAAGGAAAGAGGGGGGAGGGAGGGAAAGAGACAGACAAACAGACAGAGGTGAGTGAGAGACAGAAAGAAAAGAGGGGGAAGGGAGGGAGAGAGAGAGAGACAGACAGACAGAGAGACAGAGAGGTGAGTTAGAGACAGAAAGGAAAGGGGGGAGGGAGGGGGCTATGGAGCAAGGGGGGAGGGAGGGAGAGAGAGACAGACAGACAGACAAAGGTGAGTGAGACAGAAAGGAAAGAGGGGGGAAGGAGGGGGCTATGGAGCAAGAGGGAGAGGGAGAGAGAAAAGAAAAGGAGACAGAGAGAGAGAGAGACAGAAAGAGGGGGGAGAGAGAGGGTTATGGAGCAAAGGGAAGAGGGAGAAATGAAGAAAGAAGGAGGAGGAGAGAGAGGAGAAGAGAAAAAGAGAAGGGAAGGAAGGAGGGGAGAGAGACAGAGTGAAGAGAAAGGAAGAGAGAGGGATTGTACCCTCAAGATTAAATAAACTAATAAAAACAGGAAAGAAGGCTAGGCTGGGTTCTAAACCTGCTCTCCCTTCCTAAAGAGAAATCCTAGAATCCTAGAATGTCAGAATTTGAAGGGACCCTAGAGGCTGAGGAAGCTGAGGCCCAGAGAGGGCTCCTGACTTGGCCAGGGCTGCGCGGACAATTGTAGCAGTACTAGACCTGGGTCTGGCTCTCCTGGGCTCATAGCATAGGCCAGGATTCTCCTGGTGAAAGGTGAGCTGCCTCCGTCCTCACTCACACTATCCAGAGATTAAATGGAACCATATGACTGGCACTTCTTAGCTTGGGGGCCCTTGGTGACTGAGCCCTGGCTTTGGGGAGGGGTCTAGGGCAGGGGTCACAGACCCTAGTGTGAAGATAAGCCCCTCAAAGCCTGGACACCATGGGAGCTAGTGGTGTAAGGGTCTCAAATAGCAGAGCTCAGGGGGGAGGTTGGGTATTCTTGCCCAAGGAGGCTGGCCCCCACTGGACGTCCTTGCAGATCTCCGGGAGTCCATAGAGCGTGGGAGGCAGCAGAGCCTCCCAGGGATCTCAACACCCTGTTTGCTCCTTGCATTGGCATTTTGAACTTTGTTTCCAGCTCCAACAACATTTGCTGATTGATTAATTGCTAAGCATTTATGAATTGTCTCTTCTGGGCCCAGCTGTGCTGGGTGCAGAGTATCTAAAGAAACACAAAACCACCACCCTTCCCCTTTAGCAGCTCGTTCCATGGGATGGCGGTCATCCTACTGGCTGACATGATGATCTAGGCTTTGAGATTAGGAGGTAGCTCTCAGGCTGTGGGATGTCTTCTGGCTTCGGACTTGCTGCTCTGAGCCCGTCCCTAGATTTCCATCTAGATTTAAGCCCATTTCCCCCTCTGTAAACTGAGGCTGGTTGGCTCAGGCAGAGTTTGAACTGGATGCCCCCTGAAGTCCATCTCAGCTCAGAGATTCAGGGATTCTAAGACGCTTCATCTGTAAAGATGAAAACCAAACTGAGCCACCACCCATCGGTCTCTTAGTAGCTACGTCTGATGACCAGGCCACTTGATGCAGGACTCTGATCTCGTGAGACTTTTTCTCAGCTGCCACTGGCCTCCTTTGGGGGGTTAGGTCTACACCCACACTGAAGGCATTTTCCCTTGATGTTTCTTAGGGGCCTCAAGAAGACAATGGAGTCAGAGTGTATCTACAACCTTCTGCAGCTCCCTGCCAACATGGAGCCCCCAGTGGTGGAGCTGGCTCAAGGTAGAGGTTTCATGAGATGGCTGGGGCAGTGGTGTGATGGGATCAAGTCCTGGAGATGGGGTCACCCAACAGACATGGACTGGATCCCATCTGGGCAGGGCCTGTGATGGACCAAGGAGGACACGGGAGGGCTTAGTCCGGATCTGCCTAGCCTCAGTGGGCAGAGCTCGGACCAAGCGTTTGGAGAGGCCAAAAAAACAAATTCAGAAGGAACTTCTTAACAATTAGAGGGGGAGGAGCTCTTCCTTGAAGGTCTAAGGCTGCCCCTCGATCCCCTCAAGTCATGCTCTCAGTGATATCTGGCCTTTCTTTATCTAGTGCCCCTTTCCTACTTTGTATTGCTCATTCATTTCCCTGAGGATTCATTTTAGTGATTTTAAATACAAGTTGTTCATATCATGGAAATTCTTAATTAGTCCAGCAGTTAAGGAGAATAAGTTCAGAATGAATACCAGGTAGCTTGGGAGGGAGGGTACTAGAAGTTGGGGGAGGGGTCAGGAAAGCTGCTGGGCTACATCTTGCAGGAAGTGAGGTGGGTGGAGGTGAGAAGGGAGGACACTCCCGGTAGGCGACACCATCAGTGCAAAAACATGGGGGCTGGAGAGGAAAAACAGAGTGGGAGTCCGTTTGGCTGCTAGACCTTCGAGGGAAAGGGAAATCACATATAGTGAGTTTGGAGAGATAAGAGGAGGCCGGACTGGGAAAGGCCGGAAAAGCCGAGGAGCGACGTTCATATTTCTTCCTAGAGGTAATAGGGAGCCATTGGGATTTATAGGGTAAGGGAGAGCCATGGTAAGATCTACGCCTGGGGAAAATCACTTTGGTAGCTGTTTGGAGAATGATTTGGACAATGTAAGCTCCTTGAGGGTAGACACTTTTTTGGATCTTTCTTTGGATTCTCTGGTCTTGGTACGGTACCTGGCACCCAGGTGCTTAGTAAATGCTTAACATTGAGGGATAGTGGGCCTGCCCTCACTGGAGTGACCACAGAGGGAGAGAGGCAGAGACAGAGAGACAGAGACACACAGAGACACACAGAGACAGCTGTCCCAAAGAACACAGTGCTGATTTGGGAGGGAGTGTGTTCCCTGCTCCCCGAAAGTGTGAGCTTTGAGAAGAGCTGGGAGTCAGGAGATGTGGCTTCTAACCCCAGCTCTGCCTCCTCCTTTGCTGGCCTCAGTTCATCTGTGAAGGGCAGGAGAAGCCCCAGGAGACCTCCAAGGCTCCTTCAGCTGAAGATTTCGGTGATCACAGCTGGCCAAGCCCCGCTCCCCAAACCTCTGAAACTTGTTCACATTTCCCAGCTTTTCTCGAAGTTTTAATCAAGCCCAAATCTCTTGTCTGTAATTGAGTTTCCACAGGCAGCTGAAGAGGCAATGCAAGTGTGAGCTAATCCTTTAAATGCGCTTTAATCAGCACAAAATTAGAATTAAACAAAGTTTTCTTAAAGGGAAAGTCCCTCAAGTCTCATTGATTTTTGCCTTCATTACAAATTCTTATCAAACAGCAAGTTCCTGCTTCCTTTCCAGTCCACACTGTAATGGAATTCAGCAGGGCAATCAGGGAGGGTCTGAAATCCTTTGAATCACAAGGTATCAGAGTGAGCCAAAGAACAGAGAAGGAGAGATGGCAGAGCTGAGAGGGGCCTCAGAACAGGGGATGTCAGGGCTGGGAGGGGGGCCTCAGAACAGGGGATGTCAGAGCTGGGAAGGACCTTAGAACAGGGGATGTCAGAGCACAGGCACATCAGTCTAGCATGACATTTTCTTGATAAACCTATGCCTCTCCACAGTGACCCCCTGTTTCCTCACTTGGTAGAATGGGTAGAACACAGAAGGCAGAGCCCAGATACTTGGGTCTGAGCCCTAGAAATGACCCTGGGCCAGTCACCTAACCTTTTTAAACCTTAGTTCCTTAATCTATACTTGTAGGACCTGCCTCGTGGGGTGAAGAGTGCGCTTCATGATCTATAAAAGGCCACATATTCTGAGCCATTTTTACCTGATTTTGCATTCTTTGGAGGTCCCTGTAGTCCCTGCCCCAGCTTCCCCTCCCCCTCCCTCACAAACTCTCTGCTGAAGCATCACTTCCTCCCAAGGTTCTGTCTCTTCTTGAGCAATCTTTCATTTCCTTGTTGGTCAGAGTGAGGCTCAGTATGGTGGCCTCTTCATTGCTTCCTCCACCTTCCAAGAAACAAACTCATCAGTGAGATATGGCAGGAACTTATCAGCTGCCCTCCAGCCCATTAGAGGGAATAGGAGACAGGGCCTGGACCCGAGATTTCTCTCCTGTAGGGCACTCCCAGATGAGCAAGCTCCTTCCACTGGTGCAGACGACACTTTCTGTATGACTTGTAGTTCTAGAGAGGTGTTCAGAGTGGGCCTTGAATCCCAGCCTTCCTCACTGAGCCCAGCTGTCCATCCATTATGCTCTGCTGCCCTGCAGTAAATGATAGGTCCATAGATCTAGGAGTGGTCAGGCTAAACTGGCCTTCTCTCAGTTCCTCATGCATGGCACTCCCTCCTTCCTCTTGTGCCTGGAATGTCTTCCCTCCTCCCATGCCCCATCTCATCCTTCCCTTCCTTCAGGATGGTAGCCGTAGCCCCACCTTCTGCATCAGTGTAGAAAAGGACCCTTTCGGGCTGAATATTGACTTAGAAAACCACAAATTGACATTATCTGTGTCCTGTGGAATTTTTATTTGTTTTGTTGAACATTTCCCAATAACGTTTTAATCTGGTTGACCCACACTGGGGAGTTGTGGGCCTGTGGGCCCCAATTTTGACCCCTCTGTTCTACCTGAAGCCTTTCTCAGTTCCCTCCTTCCCAAACTACCTTGAGTCTATGTATGGATTTGTATCGATTCTGTATGTACTTATATCGCTACTTGTCAGCTCCCTTGTTAGAATGTAAGCTTTCTGAGGGCAGGGGTCACTTCATGTTTTGTGTTTGTATCTGTAGCACTTAGAACTGTGCCTGATATACAGCAGATGCCTCATAAATGCTTCCTGATCAATCCGGTCCAACCTCTCACTTTCCGCATAAGGAAAGAGACACAGAGGTGATTGGTCCAAGGTCACTAGGAAGCTGAGCTCAGGTCTTGTGACTCCACGGTCAGCCCTAGGCAAACGTGGCACTGTGGCCTTCCTGGGTGTCTAGAAAGGTGGAGCTCCTCATCGACACCATGTTCTGCCTGAATGTGGAGCTCCCAATTCAGCCTCCAGGTGCTTCACTGGGAAGAGCTGACTCAGGAGCAAAGGGGTGAGTTGGCTGGTTTCCTTATCTTGCCCTTCTGTGTCCAGGATGGGTTTGGAGTCAGGGATGGGGGACCTGCCTCTTGGAGGCTACATGTGGCCCTCTAGGTCCTCAAGCACGGCCCTTTGACTGAATCTGGTTAGCTGCACCTGAAGACCTAGAGGGACACATGTGGCCCCCAGGCCACAGGCTCCCCACCCCTGGTTTAGACAGGAGCGCCTTTCAGGGTCATACACACTATCGTTATGACCAAAGCTCCACTTTTTAAGCTGTTTTCCATTATGTATAGTATAACCCCTTCAGTTTACAAGTGAAAGCCAGACACGGCTGCATTCCTGAGGAGGTAAGGGACTTACCCAAGGTCCCACAGTGAGTTAGTGGCAGAAATGGCCCCAGAACTGAGTTCTGCCAACATCCGTCACGTCTAATGCATATTTTTATTTACAGGAGAAAAGAAGAAATATTTGCAGCCTGACTCTCGAAACAACCCGGAATTCAAAGAGCTACAAAAGGTACAGTTTATTTCCTTTAATTTCCTTTTCCCTCACCAGGGCTGGGTTTATCGCTGTAGTAATCAGGGAAGGTTTCCATGGAGGAGGTAAATCTTGACTTGGGCCTAGAAGGATGGATTGCCTCTTATTCCATCCTCAAACATCTCTCACCAGCCTGCCATGGAACCTCAAATTCTCATCATGTAACGTCTCTGACAGGCAGTCATCCACACTCTTCTTGAACACTTCTAGTGATGGAGAACTCACTGCCTCATATGAATCTGAGATTCTGTTGTGTTTTTTTTTAATTTAAGCATTTAAAACTACAAGTTGATAAGATGATGGTAGGATCATCCTCAAGGTCTCAGATGCAGAAAAAGTGAAAGCGTTTGAAGCAAAGTCCAAAGTTCTCTTGCCTCTTTTTCTGTGTGATGCATGAAAAGTCTCACACTGAAGCACCAGTCTAAACGGAGTTCATCCCTCCCCTTCTTGGACTCCTTGATCTTATGGCGCTGAAGATTTAGAATCAGGAGGCCTGGCCCTGACACTTCTTAGCTGTGTGACTTCCTGTGGGTGGGTCTCAGTTTCCTCATCTGTAGAATGGGTCTATGTGCACTGCTGATTTCTAAAGGTCTGCCTAATGAGAAGGTGTCAGTCTTAAAAGCCCATGGAAGTCCTAATCTTCTGGAGAGTTGTGAGCTGTGGAGGTTCTTGAGTCCTGTTTCTCTGGCCTGTATTTTCTCTACAGGATAAGCGGAAAGGAGATAATTGTGTATTTTAGGCTTAAGAGCTATCTCTACCTCTCCTTCATAAAGAGAGTAAATAGTTTCAATGTTGACCAAACACTTAATTAAATGGAATTCACAGGAGATGGGCTGAACCCTCCTGGAAAACCCCCTAAATTGGGAAGCAACACAGGCATTGTAGAGCAATGGAATGAAGGATGCATAGGCCAAGGATCTGGGTTCAAGTCACACCCCTGCCACCATCTAGACTGGTGACCCTGACCAGGTCACTTAAGTTCACTGGGGCTCAGCTTCCTCACCTGTCAAGTGAAGGGGCTGAACAAATTGACCTTTGAGGTCTCTCCTGGTCCCACACTGTGATGACACATGGTGGAGTTTCTTCATCTTTTTCTACTGATCTTCCACTCCCAACTGTTCCTTCAGTGAGGTCTCCAAATCCTGGTACATCCCAGACTTATAGAACTGGGAGGGCTGGGGGGGGCCAAAGAATAGGGAAGATCAGAGCTGAAGAGGCCTTAGAACAGGGGGTAGCAAAGCTGGGAGGGGCCAGAGCTGGAAGGGCCTTAGAACAGGCAATGGCAAAGCTGGGAAGGGTCTTCGAACAGGGGATGTCAGAGCTGGGAGGGGCCTTAAATATCTTATAATAGAACCCTCTCAGTATTACACAGGAAGAAAGTGAGGTCTGGAGAGAGGAAAGGACTTATCCTGAGGCCACATACCGGCAATATTTGACTGAGACAGCATCTGACCTCCAGTCTTTTGGCTGAATAGTTAAGGTTCTTGCCAAGAGATTGTGCTCTCTGGCCTCCCCAGTACCAGCAACAACAATAATCAATCTGACGACGCTTTTAGGTTTGCTAAATGCTTTCTCTCCATCATCTCCTCTGATGCTTGCAACAGGACCGTGCAGTAGATGCTACAGATGTTATTTCCATTTTGCAGATGAAGAAACTGAGATAAGGCAGGGCAAGTGACTTGCCCAGAGGCAGGCAGTCACTGCTAGTCAGAAGCTAGAGTCAAGTCCAGACCTCTCACGTTCCATTCCAATGCTTTCTATAGTATTTGGAGTCTTGCAAAGCGTTCTACAAATGTTAAATCATTTGATCCTCACGACAGTCCTGGGAGGTGGGTGCTGTTATTATTCCCATTTTACCAATCGTAAAACTGAGGCTGTGAGAGGTTAAGTGACTTCCCCAGGATCACTCACCTGGTAAATATCTGAGGCAGGAACTCAAGTCTTCCTGATTCCAAAGTCTTTTACCCTATCTACTGGTCTACCAAACACTCCTATTGAAGCCTGGGCTTTCCAATCTCTATCTCTCTTTGTAACAATTTGGGGCCCATTGGAATTAGCTCAATGTCACCCATAAACAGGAATATCTGGAGACCCCAACACTGACAAAGAATCCCTCTGTGACTTGGTCTCTGCCCTGGCCCTTCTCCGTGGCAGTGGAGAATGTCTTTGGCGAACACTGGTCTCCCTGTCTCACCTCTTGATGCCCCTTCATAAACCAGGAGCTCATAGAGCGTGGTTCTCTTTTTGCTGCTGCAGAGTCTCAGAAAGGAGATCTATAATCGCTCAAAAGACTGTGCTAATTCTCCATCCACACGGAAAAAACCAAGTGGATGAAGAAGTCTTCTTGTCTAGACTGAGAAGGACACCTCAGAGACCTGGTCCATCAGTAGTATCTTTATCTTAGATGATGCCCATCGACAATGGGCTGGTCCCAGAATTGAGGAGGGCGAGTTGGATTACCTTTGGGAAATGGTCAACTTCTTTCAATGACCTCATGCTTGTGCTGAAAATAGAGGCTGATCTCTTTGATACCAATCTCTTCTGGCATTGGCGAATGCCTGTTAAGACGTGACAGTTTTTGAAGAATTGAGATGGAATATAACCCATGAGGTGATGGAGAGTCATATGGCAGGTGTGAGCAGGAGGTGACGTGTTACCAGAAATTATAGAGTGGTGATTTTCCAAAGGCATGAGTCCTACTGTGTCACCTCCTTAGTCAGTAAGCTCCAGTGGCTCCTTATCACCCCCAGGATAGAATCCAAAATCTCATTTGGCATTCAAAGCTCTCCATAACCCAGCCCCCTCCTCCCTTTCCAGTCTTCTGACACCTTACCCCCGACACATATGCTTCCATCCAGTGACACCAATCTCCTGGCTGTTCCAAGTACAAGACCCTCTATTTCTGAGCTCGGGGCATTTCCTCTGACTGTCCCACATGCCCGGAATGCTCTCCCTTCTCATCTCTGCTTCCTGACTTTCCCAGTTTCCTTCAAGTCTCAACTAAAATCCTACCTTCTCAGGAAGCTTTTCCTTATTGTGGTTGTTCAGTTATTTCTAACTCTCTGTGACCCTATTTGGGATTTTCTTGGCAAAAATACTCCAGTGCTTTGCTATTTCCTTCTCCAGCTCATTTTACAGGTGAGGAAACTGAGGCAAACAGGGTTAAGTGACTTGTCCAGGGTCACACAACTAGGAAGTGTCTGGGTCCAGATTTGAACTCAGGTCTTCCTGACTCTAGGCCCAGTGCCCTGTCCATTTTACCACTGACCTTCCCTCTAACTTTTCCTAACCCCTCTCAGTTCTAGTGCCTTCTCCCTGTTAATTATTTCTTATTTAGTCTGGCACAGCACGTCTCAGCATAACACGTTCACATTAGAGAAGGTACCGTCCTGTATGAGCAAAGCAGAATTGAAACAGCTCGAAGGAAATGCAGGATGCGCAGAGTTAGAGAAACCACTCCAGGTGTTCCCATGGACTACTTGTGGTCCTGTGGGAGAGCATTCCGAGCTCGTATTGGTCTGACCAGTCACAGCTGGATGCACTGTGACTTAGCTCTAGTGCAGTGATGTCACCTTGGTCCCCTTTGATGGCGGCCAACCAGCCAACCTGCAGGTAGTCTGTCTGGACACATTTGTTTGCATGTTGTCTACCCCATGAAACTTCGAGCCTCTTGAGGGCAGGAGCTGTCTTTTGCCTCTTTTTGTGTCCCCAGTGCTTAACATGATGCCTGACACACAGGAGGCATTTAATAAATGTTGGTGGTGGTGAATTTATGGCAGGACATGGACAAGAGTCATGGAGGATGGTCAGGCACAGATGGGCGGCGATGTGCCTCTTTGGAGGAAACATTAAATCAATGAGATGGCCGATCCGTTGGTATATTGCAGTATCCTCTCTCATTGATTTTTTTCTCTACCAAGGAATGTTTGAAAAGCTTCTCAGGAAATTTGGAGGGGGAGTGGGTTAGGGGAAAGGGTGGACAAGAGAATCACGTGGAGACCAGCATTGTAGCTGCACAGCCTGGTAAATCTTATAATGCTTTGTGGTTACTTAATTATGGATGTGCTGTTTTTCCCAAGAGAATGTAAGCTACTTGAGGGCAGGGATGATTTCTTTCTTGTCCTTGTATCCCCTGTGCCTGGCACATAATAGGTATTTAATAAAAGTTTGCTGAATTGAATGAAGCTGAATTGACTTCCTCCATGGGGAAAAAGGACTAACTTTGTTCTTTCTCTGGCTAGGCTAGGCAGGGTTTCTATTTCACAGAATCATAGCTTCTCAGAGCTGGAAGGGCTCACAAAGACAATTCTCATCCATCTCCCAGATAAAGCACAACTCCCCTCTTTAGCATCTTTGACCTGTCACCTAGCCGGTCACTTCTAGGATGGGGAGCTCACTCCCTATCCAAGGCAACGTGTTTCAGTCTCAGACAGCTCTAACTGTGATGAATTCTTACCCCACCCCCTCTTATTTTGAGCTGAAGGCTGCCTCCCTGTAGCTTTTCCCCGTCTGTAGCATTGCCTCCCCTTGGAAAGACGAAGATGATTAGAAGGGAGAGAAGCATTCTGGGCAGCTGGGGATGAGTCATGGCAGAACTAATGAATTCTTCCCCGCGGTCAGATTTGCTGAAGTAGCAAGATGCAGGCGTGAGTTTCAAATTCAGATCATCTTATTCCTTGGAACGGTTTCTCTTTTCCTTTTCTTTACACTGGAGTCCGAGAAGCTTCCCCTCCTCTCAGCCTCTAGAGGGACAAGGCAATTTGACCAAAGCTGGATGCATGGAATGCCCCCCCCACCCCATCTCTGCCTATTAGCCTCTGTCTCTTCTCTCCAAGCCCAGCTCCCCTTCTGGGTCCTCTAGGAAGTCCCCATCCCCCAGCTGAAAGTGACCTTTTCTTACTTATATTACTCTCAGTGTTGACCCATGGTCCAGAATCAGTCCTGAGCTTATATCGATCCGTTCACTCTTGGAGTTAGTCCCCCCCCAAATCACTTTCCTTTTCTCATTTCATCCCATCCACTGATACTTCTGGGAAACCTCAGAATGCAGCTTACATGTAGGTCTTTACACAGGTGGGCAAAGGAGTCTCCAGATCCTGTAGGGATACTCAAGGTAGCCTTCTCTAATGCAGGGTTGGGAGGGAGAGAGGGACACAACTCAGAACTCGAAATGTAACAGAAAGTGAATAAAGAAAATCAATATAAGATAATTTGTAAAAATCCAACAAGAAATAACAAGAAAAAAACAAATGCTTCCAAGTTGTCATGGGAAAAAATACTCCAGGTAACCCGAATGTATCAGGTACAAGACAACTTTTATTTTGTCACCGTGGAAAATACAGAAAACACCTTAAGGACTCACAACAGCCTATAAACAAGAAATGCAATTCTCTTTCCAGTGGTTAGCACAGTGTGTGACACATAGTAGGTACTTCATAAATGCTTACAGATTGACTGCCTGACTTTCCAATGAATTCTACCTTTCCTTAGAACACCACGTAGTCCCTCAGATTCATAGCTTTGCTGGGGTTTGAGCTCCCCTTACAAGGAAAGTGAAACTGGGGTCACCGCACAAGCCACTCCCTTTCACATCAGACCTGCCATTTTGGAATCTCCTCTGGTAGTGCAAGATAAAGTCCAGGCGTTGTGTTCCTCCATCTGTTGTTGGGGATACTGTTTCACGTTGCTCAATGGTAGTGCAGTGTTATTCAAAGAATGCTTCATCTGGACTCCAATGAACTGAGTTGAAATCCCAGCTCTGACACTTACTGGTTGGGTGACCCTGGGAAGTTTGTTGGATCTAAAAAGATGATAACGATGTTTGCCTTCCCAACCTCCCATGACTGTCAGCTAATCAGTCAGTAAGTAGTTATTAAGTGCTTACTGTGTGCCAAGCACATTCTAAGTACTGTGGATGCAAAGAAACAGAAAATCAATGGTCTCTTCCCACAAGGGGCTCACATTCTAGCGAGGAAAGGACAGGTAACAAACAGAGGAGATGGAAAGCTGTCTCTGAGGGAAGGCACTAGCAATGGAGTGGGAAAGTGCTGTAGAAATGAGAGTTCTCATTATTATTATTAATTTTAGTCCTCATTTTTATTACCTTGTGTCACATTTATTTGTATAAATGACTTTCTTTCATGTGACATTATTCATGAATGCTGAGCTCCTGCCTTTTTCTAAAATTCCTATTCTACTCCGTGCCTTCAGATTTTGCTTGAGGCTTCACTGAAGTCCCAGTGGTCCAGCTATAGGGAAGATGACCAGGCCCAGGAGTCCCTAAGCTGTATCCAGAATCTGCCCCATCAGTGTGGCCCTCCATCCACCAGGAGAGGACATCAGCGAGAGGCTTGGGGCAGGAAGGGGAAGGGCTCCGCTTGGAGCGTGCTCGGATGTCCCCTTGGGTCTGGGTCAGCCTCCCAGCCTGGGGAGGAGGCATAATCTCTCAGGGTCCTTCCAGCACTAAAACTCAGTGAATCTGTCTTGTTTGTGTGGCAGGCCTTGATGGAGTGGATCAACAGCAGCCTTTTTCGGGAACACATAGTGGTCCAAAACCTGGAGGAAGACCTGTTTGATGGGCTTGTCCTGCATCATCTCCTGCGTAAGATGCCAGGGAGAGAAAGCATCAGTTCATGGCTTGGTAGAGCGGGAAGGAACACCAGAGATGATTGGGTCCCGCCTCCCCTCTGCAGATGAGGAAACAGAGGCTCAGAAACGGGGTGGTCGGTAGGGAGTCAGCCTGGTACAGTGGGATGAATGAAAAATTTGAACTCAAGCCTGGGATTCAAACCATGGATCTGTCCCTTCCAGTCGTGTGACCATGGGCAAGTCCCATGCCTCCTGTGGGCTCAAAGGAATCCTAGAACCAGAAAGGATCTCTGAGGTCACGTGGCCCACCTTCATCTCTCCCCCCCTTCCCATACTTTATAAATGGGGAAAATGAGGCTCAAGGAAATGACATGCCCAAGGTCACATAAGCAGTAAGCATTGGAAGTTAAATTTTAACCCAGGTTATCTGACTCTATAGCCAATGTTCTTTCTACTATCTAGCACTGCCTCATGCTTCAGTTTCTTCTTCTTTAAAATGAGGGAACTTGATCTCTAAGTCCCCTCTAAGATCTGAGTCTCTGATGCTGTGACTCACCCAAGATCACACAGTAAGTTAGTGGCAGAGTCGGGTTTGGAACCCAGGTATGTGGAGTTCTGGGCCTGGATTCTGGCTCTTGCATGCAATGGTCTTTTTCTGATGTGCCTATGATTGTATGAGGCTTTCCCAGGAAGGAATCACTGTTGAGATGGGGACAGCTGTGCTGAAGAGAATGGGCACCAGGCTGGGCTGGGGTGGCACTGTCTGTGTAGGTTTCTAGACAGTAATGGGACAGTGGAAGGAACAGCAGAGTCACAAGAAGCCAGAGCTGGAGGGATAGACTGAAGCTACCAAGGCCAACCTTTGAGGAAAGGCTTCTATAACTTATTCAACAAGTATTTATCTGACTTCTCCTGGAATACCTCCAGGAAGGGGGAACTCACTACCTTGCTACACTCATATCCGTTATGAACAAATAAAGCATCAGAGCTTTTTACATATTCTAGGTAAGGCACTCAGCTCAGATTGTTCTGTGTTCTGAGGCCTACCCCAACTCCGACATTCCCTGTTCTAAGGTCCCTCCAGTTCTGATCTTCCCTGTTCCAAGGCCCCTCCCAGCTCTGACCTTCCCTGTTCTAAGCTCCTTCCCAGTTCTGACCTTCCCTATTCTAAGGTCCTTCCCAGCTCTGACTTTTCATGTTCTAAGGCCCCTCTCAGCTCTGACATTCCAGGTTCTCAGCTCCCTCCCTGCTCTGACCTTCCCTGTTCTGAGCTCCTTCCCCATTCTGACCTTTCCTGTTCTAAGGACCCTCCCAGCTCTGACATTCCAGGTTCTCAACTCCCTCCCAGCACCAACTTTCTTTGAAGCTGTTTCTGAGACTGAAAGAGAAATCAAGCACTTAGAATCCCCACACCTGTGGTCTTCGCTGCCCCATTTGCTGTGTCCTGGCTCATTTCTTGTTTCCCCTCTTTCTCTGCCACCTGCAGAGAAGCTCACGTCTGTCACGTTGGACGTTGAAGAGATCGCTTTGACCGCCAGCAACCAGAAGAGGAAGCTGGCTGTTGTATTGGAGGCACTGCATCAGCATTTGCAGCTTGAGGAGAGCGCGGCCAAATGGAATGTGGAGAGTAGGTATCACTCAGCTCTGTGTGAAACGTTGCTCAGCAACAACACAGTGTGATGGAGCCTCTAGTCAGAACTCGCTTATCTGAAGCCAAGTCCTCTGTCTAGAACGCACTTGGAACTGGGAGGAAGCAGGACAGGTCCCTGAGCTATTGAAGTAACAATGCCTATAATACTGTGACTACCCAAAGTTCTTTTCTTTTCTTTTTTTTTTGTTTAAAGCTAGATTTGGGATTTCATTGGTGGTGAGAATTCCTGATGAGGAAACTCCTTGCCTGTAACTCATAGACTTAGAGTTGCCTGAGATGATAAAAGATCAAGTGATTTGTCTAGGGTTCCATTAGAGTAGATTCCACAAAGTTCTTATTTCTTAAACATTTTCACAAAGTGCCTTCCTTACAACCATCTCAAAGAGACAGAGAGGGCAGGCATGGACTTTTATCCTCCTTGTATTAGGTGCATTGTACCCCAATCCCCCACCCTCTGTCAATGGGACTGGCCCTTATTTAGTAAAATTGATTCAACAATACATTTCATGCCTCAGGTGTGGTTTGCACTGTTCCAGGCACGACAAATTCTAGTGATGGCTCTGCCTCTAGAGGGGAGTCACATAAATCAAGATTCCAGCTCTGACGCTGACTCACTGTGTGACCCCTTTTCCCTCTCTCAGCCCTTGGTCTCTTCCTCTGTAAAAAGGACCCTCTTGTTTTTAGCCTAGGGGATGGCTAAGGTCCTTTCCAGCTCCAAATCTCACGACCTTCCTATTTGACACCAACTTTGGGGTCCCACCTCCTCTGACTGCTTTGAGCTGGGAGGGACCTGGGAGGTCAGCTAGCACAATACATCTGCCACTGAAGAATCCCCTCCCCATCATCCCTGACCAGGGATCCTCTAGACTTCTCTCGAAGAACTCAGGTAAGCAGGAAGAAGAAGAGGAGCATGGGGAGAGCTCTAAGTGTTAGCAAGTTAGATGGAACCAAAATCCACCTGGTTGTGGCTCTCTGCCCCACCCCCTACCCCCACTGCCGGGGCCAAGCCTCGGGTCCCCACCAGAGCTCTTGAGGATAGCTCTGATATTTTCTCCCTCCCTGCCCCCAATGCCTAGTTTTTTTTCTCTATGCTAAACATTCTTACTTTATTACTAAAAAAAAAAAGCAAACAGATTTGTATAAATCTTTAAAGATTTTTTTTTCAACCAACAAGCATTTATTTTCTCTTTCTCCTACCTTCCTTTCCTCATTGGAAAACAAACAAACTAAACCTTGTAGCAAATATGCATAATCAGACAGAACAAATTTCCTCGTTGGCCTCTTTCAGAAACAGATGGCTCTTTCTGCATCTTAATTGACCCTTATATGGCATGGACTTGAGGCCCATCGCCATCCTGGTGTCCTTCCTCTGGATGGTCTTCAGCATATCATGGTCCTTCCTAAACCTCTGTGCCAAGGCCAGAGCATAGTCCTCCATGTGTGGGCTTCCCAGAACATAGTGCAGGGGGACTTATCACCTACTATGTGGTCTCCCACTCTGCCTCTCTTAGTTCAGCCTAAGGTTGCATTATGGCTTTTATGGAGGTCATGCTGTTTCATTGACTCATACTGAGCTTGTGGGCCACTAAAACCCCCAGCTTTTCTTTTTCTCTCTACCTCCCAGCTTTTCTTCATATGGACTACCACTTGGCCCTGCCTCCCCTACCTCATACTTAATTTAATCCTGTTTGATTTCAACAGGCATCTTCAATAAGGACTTGTTGGCCACTCTCCATCTTCTGGTGGCCATGGCCAAGCACTTCCAACCTGACCTGCCCCTCCCTGCAAATGTCCAAGTGGAAGTAGTAACAATTAAGGTAACTTGATACTCGTGGAGACCAAGAGGGTTATCTCTGCCCTCCTTACAAGCTTACTTGACCATCTGCGTGGGTGGGTGTACTGGTGTGTGCTCAGATTTGCAGGGACCTGTCCACCATTCCAGTCACCAGGACCATTAGCCCAAGTCTCACTTTCTCAGTGAAGCCTTCCATGGTTACTCTGGACCACAGTGATATACCTCTCTGTCTCCTACATTCTTGTCACATTATTGTCAGGGTGGAACAGTGGCAGAAGAACAGGATTTGGAACCAGAGGCTGGGGTTCGAATCCCAGCTCTTCCACCTGGTTCACCTCAGGCAAATCACTTTCCTTCTCTAGACTCAGTTTCTTCATGTGTAAAAGAGGGGAGTTGGACTAGATGACCCTTAAGGTCAACTCTAGCTCCATGATCTTCTCTGGGCCTCAGTTTCTTCTTCTGTAAAAGGAGATTAGAATAGGTAACCTCTAAGGCCCTTCTCTGAAGCAGCAGGGTGGCACAGTGGGTAGTCAGGAAGACTTGAGTTCAAATCCAGCCTCAGATGCTTACTAGCTGTATGACCCTGGACAAGTCACTTAACCCTGTCTGCCTCAGTTTCTTCATCTATAAAATGAGCTGGAGAAGGAAATGGCAAACCATTCTAGTATCTCTGCCAAGCAAACCCCAAAAGGGGCCATGAAAAGTCGGACAGGAGTGAAACAACTCAAGAATAACAAGGCCCTTCCAGCTCTAGATTGACCGTCTGGCTTCCTCACCTGACCCTTAACACACAATACCCTGTGAGGGTCATCTTTAAACATGTGCATGGAGGTGCACAGTCAGAATGGTACAGTGCGTAGAGCAGTGAACTGGGAGTCAGGAAGACCTGGGCTCAAATTTGCCTCAGACCCACGCTAGCACTATGACCCTGGGTAAGTCACTTGATCTCAGAGACTTAGTTTCCTTATATACAAAATGGAGAGAATGAGAGCTTCTCCCTTATAAGACTATTACGTGCTGTGGCTCAAAACAATTCATCAGGGGCAGCTAGGTGGCACAGCGCATAGAGCACTGGCCCTGGATTCGGGAGGACCTGAGTTCAAATCTGGCCTCAGACACACAATAACACTTACTAGCTGTGTGACCCTGGGCAAGTCACTTAACCCCACTGCCTAACCAAAAGCAAACAAACAAAAAAACCCACAATTCATCAACAAGGATTTATTAGGTTCTGGGCAGCGTGCTATGTGCTGGGAAGACAAAGGCAGCAGTGAGGCTGCCGTCTGGGAGCTTACCTTCCACAGAAGGGGACAGTCTGCAACAAGGAAATGGTTGTAAAGTGCTTTGAATGCTGGAGATGGGAGCAGCCGGTGCTGTTATTACTCAGGGTCTCTTAGTGCTGATGAGGCAACAATGAGAAAGGGTAGCTTCCCTGCCCTCAATGAGCTTACATTCCATTGGAGGGAAAGTGATGTGTCCAGGACAGTCCAGGAAGGGTCCAACATGGGAGGGGCAAAGCAGAAATCCATGAGAAGAAGAGAGCTCTTCTAATGGGGGTGGGGGGAGAGAAATCACAGACAGCTCCATGGAGAAGGAGAAGGAAGAGGAAGGACATGAGGAATCTTTGAGGCATGGGAGGCAGCCTGTGTGAATGCTTGGAGGCTGGAGAGAGCAGGCTAAGACTAGGGAACAGCCAGCTAGCTGGACCGGAACGTAGTGTGGGAGAAGGGGGGTAACCTGAAGAAAGGCTGTTTTCACCTTGAGGATGGCCCTGGCTGACTGGCTGGGGGGTTTCTACTTTATCCTGGAAGCCAAGGAAGGGTTTTGAGCAGGGAGTTAACATGGCCAGACCAGACATCAGAAGATGAAGCTGGCCCATATGGCCTTTGAGGTAGCCCTTACTGCTCATGAGCTTGTGGGACCATCTGCCATGTTGGTCTGGGTATTGTGGTTGTCGTGGCTTGTCCTTCCTTCTCAAAGAGGACTATGACATCAGGAAGATGATGCCATGATTTGTCAGTGAATTGGTTTAAGTGAGGGAGGGCTGTGCAAAGTCACCAGCCTCACCTTCTCCTCTGGAGCCACCTGGGTCCGGTGGCCAGATATGGATGGGGACGACTGGAGATGGTCCAGCAGTCTGAGTGTAAGCTGCTCTTGGATGTGAGCCGCACCCCTCAAATTAGATCTCTGTGGAAGAGATCATCACTGCAGAGCTGGAAGGTACCTCAGAGAGCAGCCCCCGCCCACCCCTGCTTAGGAAACTGAGGCTCAGAGACAAAGTGACTTGAAGTCACGTCGAGCATGGCAGAGCTGGGATTTGCTTCTGGACTGAAGTCCACATCTCTTGCACAGCATGCCTCGGTTGCACAGATGGTGAGCTGCATGGTGGTGCTTCTACACAGGTTGTGGACATGCCAGGGTCAATGAGAAAGTGGGAAATGGGTATTTTCAGACCAGTGAGACCCCAGAGCTTTGATGCTTTCCTCTTGAGTGGAACTCTGGGCACTCACCGCCATCTCTCCCCTTCTTTGCCTGCTAGAGCACCAAGAATGGCTTAAAGTCTGAGAAGTCTGTGGAGCAGATCACTGACTGCAAGTAAGCAAGGGGGAGAGGAGGCACTGGCTGGGACATGGGGGTGGTCTGGCAAAGGAGACTGAGAAAGGAATACCAGACAGGTAGAGAGAGGATGTTAACAGAGCCCTGTCAAGAAGAGCACAGGAGAAAGCAGAGAGGGAAAGGGGCTGGTCAATGATGCCATGTGTTGAGGAGAAGTCAAGAAAGAGGAAGATTGGTAAGGATGAGGCCACTGGATTTAACAATAAAGGAACATTGGTGATCTTGGAGAGAACAGCTTCAGTTGGGTGATGGGGATAGAAAATAGATTTCCAGGCTTGAAAAGTGAGTGGGCTCCTTCTAGCTCTGACCTTCCCTATTCTAAACTCCCTCCTAGCCCTGACCTTCCCTGTTCTAAGCTCCCCTCTCAGCCCTGACATTCCCTGTTCAAAGGCTGCTCTCAGCTCTAATATTTTGTCTCCTAAAATCTTCTCATCTCTGATATTCTTTGGTTCTGTGATTGAAATGCTGAAGACAGAACTATTTTAAAATGCATTATTAAAAAGCTGAAGAGTTAATATACCAAGCTTATTTACCAAGTGCCTTTCCTCAAGCATCCTATTGATCCAGTGAATTTCATCTAGGGTGACCATGCTGCGGCATCCATTCTGAGTACACCAGCAGGCCCGACCGAGCCTTCTGCCGTATTTCTACACAGAAGGGATGCCCATGGTTTGTTCCATGTTGGCAAAAAATGCCGCCCCCATTTTATGACTGAGGAAACAGACACTCAGAGAGGACAGATGACTTATCCAGGATGACACAGCTAATAAGTGGTAGACCTCCTGGACCACAAGTAATTAATTACTGCCTGATAAAGGGCCGTTGCTGGTAAACTGAGAATTTGAGGTTTCCGTAGGGAAGGCTGAATGCTGAGCGAGGCATTCTGAGAATTTGCCTCCCTTCAGTGGTGTTGTAATTAATATTTATGACCATCATATGCTCGTCGCTCTCGAGGTCATGAAAGCCCCATTCTCAGTTCAGGGCTATGGGTCATAAATCATTTAATGAGTTCAGCCCTTGTTTTCTGTTTGGGCTTGAAGATACACTGGAGGATTGTGTCCAGAGTTCGGGCTTTGCCCTTTCACACGAGGCAGTCTGCTTCTTCTGAGTCGCAGACCTCATTTGCTTCTGTCCGTGTTCGCACCCAGTCCCTGCAGCTTGTCTGGAGGTGTAGGTGATGGGTGGCCCTTGTAAGAGCCTCTGGAATGGCCTGGAGCCCGGACAACCTCACTTGCTGGCAGACCGAGGCTGGAGGAGCTGCTGATTCAGGAAGCTTTGCTCGAGAGGATTTTGGTCACCCAGCTCCCTGTTGTGCTGAAGGGCGGCCAGCTGGAGGGGGAGGGACCGATGTTAGCAGCAGATGGGTTTATAACCACTTTTTTTCTTTTGTCTTTAGCATGGATTCAGATCAGCAGTCAAGTAAGTCTTTCCCCCCAGGTGGAAAAGCGGAAATCTCTTCCTATTACTTGGCTGTTGCTAGAGACATGCATGATGAACGATCCTTCCTTGTGCTCAATTCAGTTTCTCCCAACAAACAGTTATCAAGCATCTCTTATGTTCTTGGGGAGGGGAAGTAGGTCCTAGGGAATATAGAGTCACTTAGGAGCCAGGAGGATCTGGGTTCAAGTCTAGCTTACCAAGTCATGTACGCTCAGTGCCCCAGGCCAATCTCCAAGACTATAGCTCACAGGCAGGTGGATGAAATGCTTTCATAAAGGGAATTTCTGTATTGGAAGGTCTCTACTCTGAAAAAAAAATCATAGATCTTGATTTCCCCGACCCTCTATAATGTTATAGGTCTATTTTGGGTGCTGAGGATACCCAAATGAAAAAAAACCAAACAGTACCTGCCCTTAGGGAGCTTATAGTCTAATGAGGGATACACATGCTAGTCTCTCAGTCTAGCATGCACCTCTCAAGTGTCCTGTCTATTTGTCTGCCTCCCTGCCTGTCCATCTGTCTTTTTGGCAGTGGGGTGTATTAGGAATTGCAAGGGACTCACAGTTAGGAGATCTAGGCTCCTATTTTAGCCCCACCCTTAAATGGCTGTATAACCATTGAGAAGTCACCTTCCCCCTCTCTAAGGCCTATTTACTCACCTGTGAAATGGGCTAACAATGTTTTCATGACCTACCTTCCAGGGATGTCATGCTATGGGGTTCAAAAGAAATAGTGACCATAAAGAGTTCCATAACTGTGTGAGAGAATTGAGTTTATTGTTTTCCAAGACTCCAGAATTGTAGAATTTCAGAACTAGAAGGGACCCCAGAGGGCATCTAGTCCAGATTATAGTAGACTAGAAGTTCCCTCCACATAAGCCCCAATAAGCAATTGTCCAGCCTCTACTTGGAGCCCATCAGGAAAGGGTAACCCACTACTTCCCAACATAGCCCATTCTGCTGGACAGCTCCCATTGTTAGGAAGAGCAGCTCAGTCTCCAGGCTCATACATTGTAGGTTAAAGATTTGTGATTTTGCTAGTGCAGATTTTAGTATCTCTGTCAAAAAAAAAAGAAACTCAACAGTCTTGGCCAACCTAATGATGAGTCTCGTGACTAAATATGTACAATTATGTTTGATTTATATTCAATATCTCTGTCTGCCCTGAGCTACTGTGAGGATCAAAGGAGATTATGCATGTGAAACCTTTGGAAGCTGTAACTCACCCAATGAATATGAAGGATTTTTATTCTCTTCCTATGTTCTGACTAACACTTCAGAACTGGTTAGTGTTGACTTCGTCCCTCTTATTGTGGTGGTTCAGTAGTACGTTTGTACAGGGCTTTCTGGTTTGCAGAGTACCTGAACATGGACCACACGATGAATGAAAGACACATGGATGAAATGACCTCCTACTCAAAACTTTTCAGCCATGGTAGAGTGTACCAACACTTGTGCCAGCACCTGGTGAGCATTTGATAAGTGTTTGACTGACTGACGGATTAGCCTTTCCTAGTTTGACCTTTGAGAACTTGGAATCACCTCTGATGAAGACAAGTGTGACAACAATGGAGAGTGCATGAGCTCAGCCAGCTCCACTCCCCTGTCTTTGCCCCTGTCCAAGGCATAGTGCTCTGACTGATAAGGTTATCAGTGGGCATATGCATTATTCCTCTAAGAGAATCTGAGCATCAGGTGTCAAATTCTTCTTTGCATCTCTCACATGGAAAGGATGCTCCATAACTATGTGTTGGATAAGTGAGTAACTGAGAGAGTAAGTGGGAAAATGGGTGCCTGAAGGAATTTGTTAGTGGATGAGTAAATGAGTGAGTGAATAATTGAACATGTGAATGAATGAGCAAATAAAAAAAGGAATAAATGAGAGGGTGAATAATTGAATATGTGAATGAATGAGCAAATAAATAAAGGAATAAATGAGGGGGTGAATAAACAAATAAATGAAAGAGTAAATGAGGGAGCAAGTGAGTGAATAAGTGAATATGTGAATGAATGAGCAAATAAAGGAATAAATGAGGGGGTGAATAAGCAAATAAATGAAAGAGTAAATGAGGGAGCAAATGAGTGAATAAGTGAATATATGAATCCATAAGCAAATAAAGGAATAAATGAGTTGAATGAATGAATGGGCAAATAAATGAGTAAATGAGGGAACAAGTGAGTTAGTGAATGAATAACTGAATAAGTGGATATGTGAATAAATGAGTGAATAAAGGAATAAGTGAGTTGAATAAGACAATAAGTGAATAAATGAATGAGTAAATGAGTGAAGAGTAAGTGAATGAATACATGGATGAATGAATAAATGAAGGAATAAATGAGATGAATAGATGAGTGAGTGAATGAATTAAGTGAATAAATGAATGGTTGAAGGAATAAATGAAGAAATAAACAAAGTGAATAGATGAAATGAGTGAATGAATATGTGAATAAATGAATAAAGGTAAGTGAATGAATAAGTGAATAAGTAAATGAGTGAACAAATGAATAAGAGAGTGAATGAATGGGTGAGTGAATGAATATCAAATTATCAGGTTGATAATAAGTGTATTAAGGCTAGGCTCCAAAGAAGGGGAGTCCTCTAATGACAGCTCCCTCTGGCTCAGCCTTTGTTCATCCTGCAGGTAATAGAATCCTAATGAAGCCTTTATTGAATATGTTTCTGCAGAAGTTGACATCTTTGATGAATTATTTAAACTTGCCCCAGAGAAAGTGAATGCTGTCAAAGAGGTAAGTGAGACCCCAGGTTTGCTGAAAGCTGACACAGTGGCCCATTGCAGGTTGCTCTGGGATGCTTACTTCTGTTTTATCTTCCTTTTCATAGGCAATCATAAAGTTTGTCAACAAGAAGATGGAGCGTTTGGGATTGTCTGTGCAAAATATTGATACCCAGGTAGGGACTCCCAGACTAGGACCTGGGTTCACCCAGGGGGCCTGGCTAGCAAGTGGCTCACTTTTCCTTTGGATATTCATTTAAAAAATAGATTTTTGCCCTTGTGATAACTTGGGTGGTGGCTGGGAGATATCTTTATTTCGAAGCAGGCAGAGAGGATTTGTGCTGACAAGTCCTTCTCATGTTAGAGACCATTCCTTTTTTTCCTTTCAACAAACATCTTGTATGCAGACCTTTGTGCCAGGCACTGGGAGAGGGAAAAGGTAGTTAGGGTGAGATTCAACACAGTCTATTATTAAATGTCTACATATGGCAGAGCATGTGCATGGTGCTGGCAATAAACAAATGAAATAAGACCTAGTTCCCAACCTTAAGGAGCTTACAATCCACTTGTGGGTATATGGAGAGGCATCATGGCCTAGAGGACAGAGAGCTGGCAAGACAGGAAGACCTGGTTCAAGTTCCATTTTGGACACATAATGGCTCGGTGACCCATCAGTAAGTCACACTATCTCAGTGCCTCAGGCAACTCTCTATGGCAATGAATTGTCCAAAACGCACCATTCAGTGTAGGCAAAAGGAGTTTCCCCACTGGGAGTTAATGATATGTCATAAAGACAAATGAGTATGGTGTAAAGAGCAAAGGAGAGAGCGAAGGAAAGCGTTTTAGAAACAATGAAGGAAGAGATCACATCGTGCTGGGAAGATCAGGGAAGGCATCATGGAAGAGGCGGCATTTGAGCTGAGCCTCAAAGAATGAAGGATTTTAACCAACAGAAATGAGGGAGATAGCTGTCCCAGGCACGCAAGATGCCAGTTGCTCAGAGGTGAACGATGCAATGTTGCAGTCAGGCAAGATGTAATAATCCAATTTGGCTGGGATATAGACTGTATAAAAAGGAATAGAGGGTGAGAGGCTAGAGTTAGATTCTGGAGAACTTTCACTGCTCAGCTGAAGGGGCTGTATGTCCGTACTAGAGGCAAGACGGAGCCCTGAAGATTTTTGATCAGCTGAAAGACACAGGAAGCAGTGAGAGGAGACAGTTCTTTCTAAGAGCTTGGCAGGAAAAGAAAGGAGAGATATGAGATGATAGCTTGAGGGGATGGTGGGGTCAAGGGATTTTATTCATTCATTTCACAAACATTGAAGCACCTACTATGTGTTAGCCCCAAGATTTGGTGCTAGAAAATCTTTCATTTCTCCCCACATTTGTAAATGTTTTATTAAAACATTCAGACTCTACCTGCCTATTACTAAAATGCCTTCTATGGGTCCCTCTCTCTCTGTGCATCCTCATTATTCATGGGTTTTAGCTCCTGGGGCTCTCTGCTGTCTCTGACCTGCTGGGTGACCCCTGTGGAATGATCAGATCTGGAGGAGAATGAGAGAATAACACAGGACGGAGAAAGCATTTGCAGAGGGCTGAATGGAAGGGATGACGTTACAAACCAAGACCATTGTGTTACTCTGCAGCATCCGCTGAGAAACTCTTAGCGGCCAAAACTCATCCAAGGAAATTCCATTATGGGACGTGAATAATGACTTCCCTCAGATAACTAATCTCCTCTTTGATACCCCTGAGGCTGCTCTGTGGGATTGTATTAGCGGAGGATGTGGCTGGCATGGCGTACAGCTTGGTCTCCCTATGTACAGGCAGGAAGATTCATGAGATCGCCACGGATGCCCCTGTCTGATGGCTCATCCTGGTGGGAAGCCGAGCCTGGGTTCTCAAAGGCTCTTCTGGGGGCATCCAGATGCTACCAGGTCCCCACAGAGATTGAAAAAGCTTTTTAGCTGGAAGGCAGCTCTGAGGCCATGTAATCCTACCCCTCATTTTTATGGAATAGGAAACTGAGGCACTGCAAAAGAAAATGACTCAGGATCATAGGAATATAGGTTCAGAGGCAGAAGGGAACTAGGAAACTGTCTAGTCTAACTCCCTCATTTTACAGAATAGGAAATTGAGGCACAGGGTAGGAGAAATAACTCAGGATCCTAGGAACATAAGCTCAGACATAGAAGCAGAGGTATACTGGAACCCATTCCTATTGAGAAAGGTGATTGTTCAAACTTCAACGTGAGCTTGTAAACCTGGAAAATCAGCAAACGCGACCAGTCAAGGCTCGATTCATTGTTTTGTTGGTTGTCACTCCAGACTTAAGAACGGGATGGAGAAAATATTAACAACACAGACTGAACTTAGGACACAGTCTTTCTTTTGGAAACCTGGTTGTTAAACATTTACCAGCATACCCTTAGCATAAGTGACCTAAGAAGACATCTAGTCTGATTCTCCTTTTTTATAGATGAGGAAACTGAGACCTGGGGAGATTAAGTGATTTCCCCAAGATCACTAAGTAAAGCATAGAAAAATAAGTCTGGAGTTACACAATAACAGTGCTGGGACTTAAACCATAAATCCATATTTTTCCTTCCTCCTTTCTTTTTTCATTCCTTCCCTCCTTCTTTCCTTCCTTTCCTCCTTCTTTCCTCCCTCCCTGCCTCTTTCCCTCCTTCCTTCTTTTTTTCCTTCCTTTCCTCCTTCCTTCCTTTTTCCTTCCTTCTTTTAAAAAATTAGATCTTTGATTTCATTGATATAAGGAATTTCTCATAAGGAAACTTCCTCTGCTCAAGAAGACTGCCCCACTGTTCTGCATGCTGTAGGTATAAAGAGTTTCCTGAGACCCTGAGAGATTAACTGAAGTCTAACAGCCAGAGTGTGTCAGAGGCAGGACCATCGTCTTGACAATGAGGCTCACTCTCTAGTCATTACTCCATATGGTCTCTTTCCATGTTCTTTCTGCTCTAGTGATGTGGAAGTGATAAGCACACACACCACACACACGCACGCGCACACACACACACGCGCACACACACACTCACACGCACACACACACACGAAATCAAAGATATTGAATATGAGACTTCTAGAAAGAAATGGGGTTTTTGCTCCCTTTCTTGTCCTTCCCAGATAGACTGGAATCTCAGCAGGACGATAGAATACCAGAGCTATAAGGAATCTCAGAGGTCAACCCTGCCAACATCTCTGATGAGTACTTTGTTCCCTTGAAGACTTCCAGTGACAGGCAGCTCATTCCCTCTAGGGAAATTCCATTTTCTTGTTGGAATACTTGAGCATTTTGTCATCTGCAGAGCCCCGAGTAAAATTAGGTTAGAATCTTCTGTGCTTCTTTCCTGCCTTGGGGATAAAATCAACTCCTCTGTTTGGCATTTTGAATCCGCCACAACTGGCCACAGCTTCCCTTTGCAGGCTGGTTAGATATTTTTTCAGCCACACTGGCCTGCTTTCTCTGCCTTGTACAGGACATTCTATTCCCCCTCCCCACCCCCATGCATGCAGTGTTACTCCTCCTTGTGTCTACCTCTTGGAAGTCTTAGATTCCTTCAAGACTCGGGTCTTGTTCCACTAAGTGCCTAGCATACAGTAGGTGCTTAATCAGTGCTTACTGGATTGAATGGCATCCAGTTTCTCAGAAGCACAGCCACCAAGCCGGCCCTCACTGTGCCCTCTCTTGTAGTTTGCAGATGGGGTTGTTCTAATCTTGTTGGTCGGACAGCTTGAAGGCTATTTCCTGAACTTGAAAGATTTTTTCCTGACCCCCAGTTCTCCTGCTGAAATGGTGAGTTGCTCCTCTCTCCCCTGGAAATGTACCAGGTGCCAAGGAGACAAAAACAGAAGTGAGATAATCCTTACCTCCTGGAAGCCTGGGCAATTCCAGCACCTGGTGCAATGCCCGGCAGGCAGGTGGGCAGTCAACAAACCTTTATGCAGTTCTCCTGTCTGCCAGGTGCTTAATAAATAAATGCTTGTTAATTGACTGACTGATAAGGCCACTTGAGCTTTCTGCCCCTTAGTCTCTTTATGCATCAAGTAGAACTGGAGATAGTAGCCCCCGCCCCTGCAGGGCACTTGAGAAGGGGGCTGCTCCTCCTGATGGAATCCCAGATCCCCTAAGGGGAGAAGCAGAGGCCATTCTGAGCACCATCTTCCCTTCCCTTCCCCCGAGGGAGATGGATGGAAGCAGGAGATCAGTGCAGCGAGGTGCTCGCTCACTGCGGGGTCCCGTTTGGGGCAGGAGGGGATTACGGGGGCAGGTCTGGAGGAAGGGCCCCCCAGCTTCGCAGTGATGAAGCTGATGGAGGGAGGCAGCCCATGGTTGGGGAACATTACACCGGGCCTGGAGGATATGTGGCTCTACTCCTCTCCCCACCCCTCCCCCTCCAGGCTGGAGCCCCTTGTCACCCAGAGCTCCATCAGGATTTACTTTCCATTGTCTGAGTACAAGGCGTTCTCTGAAATAGATGAGCTCCATGCAATGGGGGAACTGCTCTTTCCCCAGGCAATGGCGGCAAACGTGTTTGCAAGATAATTAAATGGTTTTCCTTTTGTCAAAGCCTGTCAAGGTCGTTGTGAGAGAGGACAGCTCACCCAGCAGCTTAGAGAGAGAATCACAGAAGGAGCCTGAAAGGGACCTTGGAACATATGATGCTAGAACAGGGACCATAGAATGTCAGAGCTGGGAGGGAGCATAGAACAGGGAATGTCAGAGCTGGGAGGACTGGGAGGGCCCTTTGAACAGAGGATGTCAGGGCTGGGAGGGGTCTTAGAACAGGGAATGTCAGGGCTGGGAAGAGCTCTAGAACAGGGAATGTCAGAGCTGGGAGGGGCCTGAGAACAGGGCATGTCAGGGCTGAGAGGGCCTTAGAAGAGGGGATGTCAGGGCTGGGAGGGCCCTTTGAACAGAGGATGTCAGGGCTGGGAGGGGTCTTAGAACAGGGAATGTCAGGGCTGGGAGGGGCCTGAGAACAGGGCATGTCAGGGCTGAGAGGGCCTTAGTTTTTAGTTGGTGAAGCTTCCTCCTTTCCAAGTTCTAAGACTGAGGCCCAGAGTCATGCAATGACTTGTTCAAAGTCACGCTGTCAGTCTGTGGCAGAGCCAGCCCCAGCCCCGAGGCCTGTACTCTGCTCCCTCTCTTGCCAGCCAGAGCCTGAGGATCTGTCTTTGGGGTCCTGCATCTCCCCACACCCTGTGCCCATCCTGGGTGGAGTCTGGCCCATGGCCCAGGTGAGGACAGACTGCTCTTTTCTGTTGTCACAGGCAGCTTTTTCTCTTTCCCAGCTGCATAATGTTAACCTGGCCATGGAGCTACTGAAGGACGGAGACCTGCTCAATTACCCGGTCAACCCCGAAGGTCAGTGGGCGCCTCAGAGATGCTCCTGAGTAGAGAGTCAATTGCTTTGCCCTTGTTAGCTGGAAACAGGGCTGGCCGGCAAACAGGCTCTCCTTGAGAGCCCAGAAGCCCGTGCTTCTCGCTCAGCTGCAGCCTGTACACCTATCAGAGGGACTAATGTCAATCAGTTAGTCACTCGACAAACATTGATTAAGCACTTAGTATATCACCGGGGATATAAAGAAACTAGATTATAGTCAGAAAACCATGTCGGTATCCTGGCACAGAGTAGGTGCTTCATTCGCTGCGTGGGTTTGAGCACATGTCCCCGATGACTGCTTCTCAGCTTCCTTATCTGTGAAATGAAGGTGATAGCATCTGCTGTGGCTGGCTCACTACCTCACAGGTTTGTCAGAAATCTCAGGATCTTCAAAGATCAGGGAGGGGTTAGTCCAAATCAGAGAAGATTTCCTAGTGGAAGGGCCCCAGAACTAAAGATCTAACGATTCTATCATGCGACGATCAGTCCGCAAGTCCTGTCCATTTCACCCCCAGGGATCGCTCTGGATGTGCATGGGCGTCACCCTGGGACAGGTCTTCACTGCCACCTGCCTGGGCTACTGCAGTAACCATTCCCCGCCTTCCTTCTTCTCCAATCCACCCTCCAGATTCCTTCCAGCATCATTTTTCTTGTGAATAGATCTGCTCATGTCACTGCTCTGCCCAACCAGCTTCTAGGGTCCCCTATTGCCTGTTGAGTAAAGTCTGACCTCTTCTGCCTGGCCCTTGAAGACTTTTGTAATCGTGCACCCCCCTCGCATTCCACGTTGTGGTCCAATACTCCCTTCCCTGGTAATCCCCTTCAGACTGGACAGCTGGGGGTTTCCCACCCTTGTGCCTTTGCTCATGCTGTTTCCTCTGCCCGGAATGCCCTCCCTTCCTTACCACTGCCCTATCTCTACCAGTTCAATTCCTCCCCATCCTTTGGTGGTCCTGCCCCGATGCCACCTCTTCTATGAAGCCCTCCCTAATGCTCCCAACCAGAAAGGACCTCTTCATCTTTTGAATTCTCACAATGTTTTCTGTCCTTCCTCCAGCCCTTTTATATTCTGTCCTGTTTTCACTTGTCTGGTTGGTTTTATTTTATTGTGGTGCAGACCAGTGAGTTCATTGGTATAAGCAACAGCCAGTGAGGAAGCCCCCTCTACCGAAGAAGACTGGTAGCTCTTCTGCAATTTACAGGCTTTGGAAGTTGTGTGGGAGCATAGGAAAGTTAAGTGACTGGCCCAAGGTTGCCCATCCAGGAGACGTCAGAAGCTGCTGCCCAAGACAGCTCTGTGTCTGCTTGTTGTTACTTAGCCCGCTCTCCACAGTGCTTTTCTCCAGGCTTCGATGACACTTGGAGCATTGGTGCCATGGAAAGGATGCTGGATTTGGAGAGCGAGGACCTGGGTTTAGGTCCCAGTCTTGCCCCTGCTATCTCTGTGCCCTGAGCAAGGTCCTTGCCTTCTCTGGGCCTTCACTTTCCTCATCTGTAAAAAGAATGGGTTGCATCAGACGACCTCCAAGGTCCCTTCTGGTTCCAAATGGGTGATTCCACTCTCTCCTGACTGATATACCCAGTCGAGGCTTTTTTAATCTGTTTTACAGAAGAGGAAACTGAGGCTCTGAGGGGAAATGATTTGCAGAGGGTCGCAGAGATGAAATTGTGAAGCCAGGATTTGAACCTGGATTTTGTGCCTCCACATCCAGGGCTCTTCTCCATGCTGAGGTCTATGCCTTGCCTTCCTTATTGGGCTATAAGCAGCCTAGGATGAGCTCAGCTAAGGATCCCGGGTAGGGGTCTGCATATCACCCTGAAAACAATAGGTATTTAATAAAGATTTGCTGAAGGAATGAACAAACGGAAATGTGCACCTCCCTTTTCTGTCCACAGACATCACCAGTGGGGACCCCAAAGCTACACTGAGGGTACTTTATGGCTTGTTTTCCAAATACAAGATGAGTGAGGACTCCAAGGAGACAAAGACCGAAGCTGGGAATTAGGAGTTCTTGAAGACTGTGCTCTGCTGAAGTGGTTTGCGTTTCAGCCAATGTGATCTTTGCATGTGTGTTTAATCTTTGAAGTAACAGGAGTCCGTGGAAGTTAACTGAGTGAGAAGTGGTGGCGTGGCCTGGAATTGGAATCTGTTTATGTTTTAGCTGAGGCTTTACATCCCCAATAAATGTGAGCTTATCTCTGAAAGAATGTGGCCCTATGACCTTGAGCTTGACCTCAGTCCTTGTGGGATGGATGACTGATCAGCTCTTTAACCCCTGTGGTCATGAGTGGACACGAAGCCTTCACCTAGGTTGCTGACAGCAGCCTGGAAGCCTTGGGTCTGGCTTTCTGATAGCCCAGGAGAAGAGCTGGTGGGGAATGGCAACACCATTTCCAACATGTAATCCCAGAACCAAGAAGGACCTTTGAGGTCATTGAATCCAGCCCGTATCCATGTCAGAATCCCCTTTATTTTGTTCCTGACAAGCATTCACCTAGTCTTCCCTTGGATATTTTCAGTAAAGGGAAAAATCTCTCCCATCAAATTTTTGGACAGCACTTATTGTTAGGAAGTCTTTCCTTGTATCAAAGAGTTGAAAATTTGTCTCACTGGAGAAGCATTATCTTGGTGGCTTGGTCATGTCAAGGTAGGCCTCTAGCATTTTGGGTGGACCTGCTGCAGTCAACTTATGGGAGGTTGAGGGTGCAAGGGACATAGGAGGGGTAGACAAGAATGAGTTGCCTTCTTCCTCTTTGGAGGGAACAGCTATATTGATGAGATCACAGATCCATCTGAATGTTCCAATATGACTCCCACCCAGAAAGTCACACCTAATGAGAACCAAATGGAACTTTAAATGGGTAGAAAGCATGCCATCCAACCAGGAAGTGAACAGGATTCCCTCTGTGTTGTCCCTGACAAAGGATAATAGTCTCTGAAGATATCCAGGAATGTGAAATTTACTACCTTCCACTAAAGGCTGGCTACATCATCTAGTCAAGTCAAGTCCATGAGCATTTATTAAGCCCTTGGTATGTGCCAGACACTGTATTAAGTGCTGGGGATACCAAAAAAACAGCTACCCCAAAAGAGAGAGACCAATGTTGTTATCTTGTTTAGAGAGATTGAAAGGGGTAGCATGGAAAGAAGAGAGCGAGTAGGGGGCTATCTATCCTTTTATTCTTCATAATTTTTGTTAAAATTCTAGATATGATAGAATAGCCTTCCCTTCCTAGGTCTGGGTGTATGTGGCCACTTGGGAGGGTCAAAGGAAAGAGTCAGACCCAGGTTACAGAGTCCTGAAATATCAGAGCTTGGAGAGCCTTTAGGACATGCAATGTCAGAGCTCAGAAGGGCCTTAGAAATCCTTCTTCCTCGTTGCCAACCACTGGAATTGATTGTTCTGAGATTCACCAGACATCTGGTGCCAACAAGTTTGAAAATAATCATCTTGCTTCTCCCAGAAAATTTAATTAAATCAGCTCACTGAAGGAACTGTATCTAAAGTGAAATCCTGTGGCTATTTTCACATATTTTGTAGGAAAGAAATAAAAAAACCCTCTCCTTGGGGTGGCCTAATGGTCCTACCTGCCTATGGGGGAGCTGGTGCAGAGCTTTCTCTTAACTAAGCCCTGGCATTTTCTGTTTTCCAAAGGAATCAAACCTTGCAGGAGGATTAAAGATGGTATTTGCAGGGCTTCATTTCTAGAGCTGAGGAGATTATGCTCAGAATTTGGCATTTTAGGTAGAAAACTATCAAGGGAGAAAAAAGCAGAGGGAAGGAGTGTAGGTGGCATCCACTGCTAATCAGGATATTACCATGGCCTCCTGCAGCAGGTTCAAGAGCAGATCTTAATTTGAAGCCAGAGGACCTGGGTTCAAATTCCAGGATGGCTACTTCCTAAGTGACCTTACCCAAGTCACTTCCCCTCCTTGGGATGGAGGGGTTGGACCACCAAGATGCCTTTTAGATTTAGGCAATTCCTCACCTTGAATTCCCAATTTGTCTATATAAGCAAGCCCTCTTCTACATTGTTCTATAGTGGATTTTCATTTCAATGCCCTTGTAAGACAGAGGCTACATCTCCATCTGACAAGTGGTGAAACAGAGTCCTAGAGAGCTCTGTGACTTGCCCAAGGTCACCCATCAAGTATGTTGTAGGAGTACATATGTATGTGGAACGCTTCTTGGTTACTGGTGGACATGCATTTTTGCTTTTCATTGTCACCCTCACAATGCTTACTCCCACCTTGGTGCCTTCACCCAGGCTGTTTTTCTCACTCCTAAAAAGCCCACCTCTTCTCTACCTCCTGAATGTGACCCATAAAAAGCCCATCTCCTTTACCCCACTCAGTGCACATGGATTTCTCTCTCCTCTGAACATTTAGGTCATGTATCATACAGTCTAATCCTTGCTAGCATCCAGAAAGTGCTGGAAGGGACTTTAATGGGGGCAGATTCTTGGTGAATCAAGGAGAGCAGGGAGGTAAGTGCTCTATAGTATCAACAGGGTAGAGATTTAGGAGGCAAGGCCAGAGTACAGACCCATGGTTTAGAAATAGGAGGAAACAGATACAATAAATAGGATTGGGGGTCAAGATCCAGCTAGAACAAGTGTGCTAAGCCAAATCCAGGAGCCCCAGGGTGAAGTCAAAGCCAAGTAGGATAGGGGGATCCTTAAGATCCAGGATTCTAGAATTGAGTCACAATGGCAGAGCCTCTGTAGAAAGGAAAGGCTATGAAGGCTCTAAGGATCTGATTGGTCTTGGGATGGTCTCCTTGGCTTCCCATCCCAGGTTTGAAGGTTAACTCCTATGCAGTCCATTTCACAGGGCTCAGCAGTCATGATCTGACCTGAGCTGCTCAACCAAGGTGCTGACAGGGCTGCCCAAGAAAGTCACCCTTATGCAGGTGTAGGTCATTAGATCATAGCCTTAGAGCTCAGAGGGACCTCAGAGGGTGTCTCTAGTCCAACCCCTCATTTTCCAGAGGAGAAAGGTCACAGGATATCAGATCTAGAGCTGGAAGGAAGCTGTCAGATCAGCTAGTCCGAATCACTCATTTTACAGATGAAGAAACTGAGGAGGCTCAAAGAGTTTGTTACTTGCCCAAGGTCACACAGTATCTCCACACCTCTCCATGTTGGTCTCTGTCAGTGTGATGCATCTTAGGCTATAAAGAACCCTGAAGAACAGGGTCTAATCTAGACTTTGGCTTTGCCTTGTAGAGGGCTCAAAATAACCATACAGAGACAAGTGCCTCCTGATGGTGATGATGGTAGAGGCAGCATTGAGACTTGAGACCCACTTTTACTAATCCTAACCCCAATTCCAAGGCATTACTTCCTAAACATCCTCATCTCCATTAAGTAAACATTTTCTATCTACTCTTAGTTGAAAGTGAACTTTTGGGGAAATAATACGCTGAGAGACAGGAAGAGCTGCTCATTCTCTTCACCACAATGAGTCCCCTACTAGGAGGATTCCCTAAGGAATTTATTAAGGTATGGGAAAAATCAGTGGTAGCAGGATATCCACAGCCAATTTTCTTTTGTTAACAGCAAAACATTGGAAGCAACCTGCATGCTGGTGATTGGGAAATGGCTGGAGAAATTGTGACATATGGACTAGAATGATATTACCCACAGAGGACATGGGGACTACGAAGAAGACAAAGAAATATGGGAGGACATATGAAGTGGTTCAGAGGGAGGAAATCAGCACAGCCTCATAGAAATAATATACCAGGAATAAATAACAGTAACAGTAACAACCACATTTTATAGCATCTGGCATTGGCATCTTTTTTGCATTTATCATAGGATCATGTCCATATTCATGGATATAGAAATGGAAAGGACCTCAATGACTATCTGGTTCAATCCCTCCTTTACAGATGAAGAAACTGAGGCCCAGTGAGGCAAAGAGACTTGGCTGAGGTCACTCAGCAGCAGGTGGAAGATTTGAACCCATGCTCTCCAAACTTAGAACCAAGGCTATTTTCCCTAAACTACATTGTCACCCCATCACACACTCCCCCTTGTATAACAGCGATGTGCATGTTTGTTCCTCTCTTCCGTTTGATTGTAAACTTTCAACAGTCTTACAAAAACTTCTCTAGTCTTTGGGACTTGGGCTTTCTCACAATAGAATGCTTCTGTTTTAGACATGCCTTTTCCTCCAGCATGGTCCTCAGCCCTCTTCTGGGATTTCTACTTTGCCCATTAGCATCCTTCCCTGGGGCCTCCCTGACTATGGCATCAGAGGAGGGACATCAGACTAGTCTGAATCAGTCAACAAGCATTCATTGTGCTAAACACTGAGTCTACTCCTCCCTCTAACATCCATGGTCTTGTCCTGTGGCTGCCCTACTAGCTGGGATGTTGTAGTATGTGTGTGGAGGTGGCATGTGTTGGCTTCGCCCCTGGTCTTGCTGACCCTATTACAGAGGCTTGGTGACCTGCCAGAAGGTTGGTGAATCAGATTCTGAGCTAAAATCTACATTGGAGGCAGTTTCAGAAGACTTTACCATTAGAGGCTCACTTCTATAACCCAAAGGGAAGTATGAGTATAGTCATAGTATATAAGATGGTTAGGAGGAGAGAAAGCTGAAACACCATACATGGCCCCTTGGTTTTCCCCTTGATGGGAGGAGTCCTCAGAGAGACACTCAAACAAACACCCTGGGAGTCCAAATTGTGTGGATTTCCAAGTCCAGAGTCTTATCTGTATCCATGGGTATACATAGAAGGGATAGGCAGAGTGTGAACACATACCTAATCTACACTCTCTTCACTCACATGCCCACATTTTCCTCACTCTCTGCATACCAACAAATCTGCCACAAGATACCACAACTGTCATCCATCTAATAGCAAGCAGGAAGGTTCTTTAATTTCTCCCCATTACATTCAGCTCCACCCAGCTTCATCCATCATGGTAGCCCAACACAGTTACTCTGGGAGTGGTTTGGTGCTGTCCTTCGCCAAAGGACAGATCTGGTTAGTGGCTCCCTTCTTCACCATTACCCCTGGCCATGGCCCTGACTACCTGCTTCTAGGTCAGTCCCTGCCAGATGGATGATTTTAGATAAAAGCTAGCCCTCAGGCTATTCAGTCATTACAATTCTATTTGAGATACGACATTCAGAGGCCTTAGCTATACCCAACTGTAAATGCAGTTGAAGGAGAGGAACTTTATTAAGGCCAGCCATCCCAGGCTCACTCTTCCTTGTGTTCCCCATGGCACCAAGCCCAGGACTACATGCACTGTAGGTGCTCTGTAAATACTTGTGGATGGATTGGTAGATGAGTCATCTACCCTGAGGATCGAAATGGAAAATGTTCTGAACCTTGTACCTGCAGAAATGCAATCAGCGACAGCTTCTGCCACTCACCAGGAGGGTCAGGGTGTTTCTGCTGAAAGGAAAAGAGAAGAGAGAGGAAGGGAAAGGGAGAGAGAGAGGAAGAGAGAAGAAGAGAGAGAAGAGTGGAGGACGGAGGGACAGGGAATGGAAGAGTGGGTAGAGGAGAGGGAAAGAAAACAGAGAGAGACAGGGAAGGAGGAAAGGAAAGGGAGAGTGGTAGAGAGGGAAGGAGGAGGGAAAGAAGGTAGAGAAAGATAGAGAAGGAGGGAGGGAGATAAGGAGAGAAAAGCAGGGAGTAAGAGAGGGAGAAAAAGAAGAAGAATGGCCATGAGGGAGAGAGAGACAGGGATAAAGGGATGGAAGAAGGGGAGGAAGAGAGAGAAAGTGTGTGAGAGAGGGAAACAGGGAGGGAGAAAAAGGGACACTGGGGGAAGAAGAGAAGAGAGGGAGAAGAAGGGGAGAGTGTTTCCTTTCTCTTTCTCTCTGGAGGCAAGGATATGTTTATGTGTAAGGGGTGTGTGCGTGTGTGTGTGTGCGTGTGTGATATCTGCATACATCTGTGTGTGTCTGGATGTGGATTATACATGCATGTTTCTGCATCTGTATAGAATGGGAGGATGCTGCAGGGAACATCGGGTTCTTAGCTTTTACACTGAGCATCCCCTCTGGGAAAGGTTCTGTAGGACTTAAGGTGGGAGTCATGAAAGTGAGTCTCACACTCTGGGGATCTTTGCTGAGAAAGTTGATTGAATAAGAGGCAAGAAGGTAGAGGTCCAAATCCACCTGAAATATTACAGGATTAAAGCCCTAGCGAGAACAGAGGGCTTCCTGAAGGGAGGAGGAAGGAGCTTGGGATTTGGATCCAGGAGACACTAATTCTAGTTCTGGCTCTTAGATTTACTAGTTGTAAACTTGGAGGCAAGAATTTTATTTCTTGGACCCTCAGTTTTCCCTTTTGTAAAATGGGGATAGCGATGTTATCTGTCTGACGAGGTGTCACACTGAGGAAAATGCTTTGAAAACCTTAAAGCTTCTGGGTACTATGAGATGATAAGTGGGAGGGAACTTGGAATAGGGAAGGTCAAAGCTGGGAGGGGCTTCAGAACAGGGAGTGTAAGAGCTGGAGGGGCCTTGGAGATCATTTAACTCAATTTTTCCAATTTACAAATGAAGAAATTAAGACCCAGAAAAGGTGAATGATCTACCAATGGTTCCATAGGAATCAGGGAAAAGTCTGGCCTCCAGCTCAGGGTCCCAATGTAGTCCTCTCTATAGAATACCATTACGCCTGAAGGAAATGAGATAATTTTCTTTCTTCCAAACTCCCCAGATGTTATCTTTCGTAGCTAATCTAGCTAACTATTTTTTTTTGTAATAAGCAGTGAAAAGCCCATAATCCCCAAAGAGAAAGAGTGTCATAGATGAGGCCCAGACACATCCCAAGCTCCTCCCTCCATCTGTCTACACTAAGCTTTTGGCATCAGAATGTTTGCAGCCCCTAGCTGGCCTCACTTACATGAAACACTGAATTCTTCCCAGAGGATAACCTTAAATCTCCATCCCTGCGAAGCTTCAGAAACGAAAGTAGAGACTAACACCTGCCATACCCCAGGGAGGTGCCATGCTTGGGTCCAGGTACAGCAGGCTAGACAACATACCATACAGCCTGTTCTGGCTGTAGTCAAGGTAAGGGCATCATCAGGCAGAGGGTGACCAGAGAAAGTGATGGGTAGGTCATGGAATGAGATGGAGGGATAACAGATGGATGGCCCTAATTTTCCACTGGTGTCCATGCAATGTCAGGAAGTCTAAGGGAAGGAT